ACCCCCCACCCCCCCTGCCGATGAACTGTCTCCCCAGTCTGCAATCCAAGCCCTGAGCCCCTCACACTGGGGAAATGCTGTCTGAGCAGGAAGCACCCTAAGCCCCTTCCCCTGGAATGAGGGGACTGGCCAGGTGAGGGGGAGGCAGGGTAGCATGAGCAAGAACATCCGATACCTAGACAGGCGGCAGGGGGCTCAGCATGCAGAGGAAGGTGGGGGTTGGGGCGCAGGGACAGTGTAGGGAGGTGAAGTTCTGTGGATGGAGGGATACAGGTGAGCTGACTGGGGTGGGAGTGCATGGGCTGGGGTACATGGGAGGCCCTCATGCTTGGGCCGGGGTGCAAATGGCTACATTCCGGAGCCAGATGTCTGGGAGAAAGGGATGTGCAGACAAAGGGGTGTATGCACGGGTTCTGCACACGCACTATGGGGTGCAGATGAGTGGGTGGCAGGAAACACACATGGACTGGGGGGCCAAAGAGCAGGTGGGGAGATGCATGACTTAGGGGATACAGACAGATGCATAGGTGGGGTGGGTACATATTAAGAGTTGCCAATATGCGGGCAGAGGGAGACATCCACAACAGGGTGCCAGCGCTTCCGTGGGGGGAAGATTCATAGGCTGGGGGGCAGATGCACAGGCAGGGAAAAGATGCATGAGTTAGGGGTGCAGCTGCATAGGTGGGGGTGGCAGCTGCCTGGGGGAAGGTTGCATGCATCTGGGGGCAGCTGCTTGGGTGGGGACTGCATGCATCTGGGGGTGCAACTGCCGGGCTCTGGGGGTTGCATGCATCTGGAGGTGCAGCTGCCTGGCTCTGAGGGGTGCATGTATTGGAGGTGCAGCTGCCTGGCTCTGAGGGGTGCATGTATTGGAGGTGCAGCTGCCTGGCTCTGAGGGGTGCATGTATTGGAGGTGCAGCTGCCTGGCTCTGAGGGGTGCATGTATTGGAGGTGCAGCTGCCTGGCTCTGAGGGGTGCATGTATTGGAGGTGCAGCTGCCTGGCTCTGAGGGGTGCATGTATTGGAGGTGCAGCTGCCTGGCTCTGAGGGGTGCATGTATTGGAGGTGCAGCTGCCTGGCTCTGAGGGGTGCATGTATTGGAGGTGCAGCTGCCTGGCTCTGAGGGGTGCATGTATTGGAGGTGCAGCTGCCTGGCTCTGAGGGGTGCATGTATTGGAGGTGCAGCTGCCTGGCTCTGAGGGGTGCATGTATTGGAGGTGCAGCTGCCTGGCTCTGAGGGGTGCATGTATTGGAGGTGCAGCTGCCTGGCTCTGAGGGGTGCATGTATTGGAGGTGCAGCTGCCTGGCTCTGAGGGGTGCATGTATTGGAGGTGCAGCTGCCTGGCTCTGAGGGGTGCATGTATTGGAGGTGCAGCTGCCTGGCTCTGAGGGGTGCATGTATTGGAGGTGCAGCTGCCTGGCTCTGAGGGGTGCATGTATTGGAGGTGCAGCTGCCTGGCTCTGAGGGGTGCATGTATTGGAGGTGCAGCTGCCTGGCTCTGAGGGGTGCATGTATTGGAGGTGCAGCTGCCTGGCTCTGAGGGGTGCATGTATTGGAGGTGCAGCTGCCTGGCTCTGAGGGGTGCATGTATTGGAGGTGCAGCTGCCTGGCTCTGAGGGGTGCATGTATTGGAGGTGCAGCTGCCTGGCTCTGAGGGGTGCATGTATTGGAGGTGCAGCTGCCTGGCTCTGAGGGGTGCATGTATTGGAGGTGCAGCTGCCTGGCTCTGAGGGGTGCATGTATTGGAGGTGCAGCTGCCTGGCTCTGAGGGGTGCATGTATTGGAGGTGCAGCTGCCTGGCTCTGAGGGGTGCATGTATTGGAGGTGCAGCTGCCTGGCTCTGAGGGGTGCATGTATTGGAGGTGCAGCTGCCTGGCTCTGAGGGGTGCATGTATTGGAGGTGCAGCTGCCTGGCTCTGAGGGGTGCATGCATTGGAGGTGCAGCTGCCTGGCTCTGAGGGGTGCATGCATTGGAGGTGCAGCTGCCTGGCTCTGAGGGGTGCATGCATTGGAGGTGCAGCTGCCTGGCTCTGAGGGGTGCATGCATTGGAGGTGCAGCTGCCTGGCTCTGAGGGGTGCATGCATTGGAGGTGCAGCTGCCTGGCTCTGAGGGGTGGCTGCCTGGCTCTGGGGGGTGCCCGAGCCCGGAGGTCCCCAACAGAAAGGATATGGCCATTCGGTGATCTTTTTGGCGTATTTCCTCACCACGTTATCCTCGCTGAAGAGGAAGAGGGACCGGTTGAGAGTCAGGCAGTTCTGCCGGACCGGGATGGGATTGTAGAGAGCCATGGTGCGGGCTCGCTGGGCCATGGACTGCTTGTACATCCTCTGGGCCCCGGGCGGTCCGCCCTGCCGGCTGCCCCCGGCTCCCCGGCC